GGACGCTTAACCGACTGCGCCACCCAGGCGCCCCTCCTGTGTCCATTTTTGAATCAAACTGGTTTTATTTTTGCTCTTGAATTGTGTGAATTCTTTATTAGGGATATTAACGCTTATCAGATAAATGATCTGCAAAGATTTTTTTCCATTCTATAGACTGCCTTTTCCTTTTATCCGTAGCATCCTTTGCAGAGCTTTTTAGTTTGATGTAGGTCTATTTGTGCTTTTATTGCCAAGACCTATTTTGAGGAGCTTACCCATCCTGTTTTCTCCTAGTAGTTTTGTGGTTTCAGATCTTACATTCAAGTCTTTAATACATTTTGAGTTGATTTGTGTGTGTGCTGTAAGATAGGGGTCCAATTTTTCCAGAACCATTATTGAAATAAGATTTCCACGTTGTAGGCTATATACATGGGTTGATTCTTGGGCTCTCTATTCTGTTCCAGGTTCCTGTAGTATGAGACCGTTTTAGGCTGTCTTATTAAATAATCAGAATATACTTGTCATGAAGTAACATCTGGCTACCCTTAAGTTCATGTAGGATAGGAAAACTAAAATAAGTATAAAGGGAGTAAGGTGTAGTGTGAGGCTCCCTAATCCTAAGTTTATAGAATAAATGAATCTGGGCAAAAGGATGATTTTTTATAACCTTAGGCTCTTGGTTCAGCCTCCATCAGGAGGTTTTTGGCAGAAGATTCCTCTGCCAATTTTAATGCCAATTTTAAGAACTAGTTTCCTGTGCCCTCTGATGGTAGAGTTGTCAAGGAGAGCATCTTCCTGTATGAGCTCAGGAATGAGGGTGGAAACAGGTATCAAGAGAGTTACTCTAGTACTACTGTCCTGGAGGAACTTGTTTTGTAATGTTCTTCACTGTTTACATTAAGCCTGTGAGAGGAAGGATATTCAAGAGATGGACTCAGAAAGATAGTCTTCTCATTCCTATAATTTGCTGCCAGTAAGAGCTCCAAGGCAAGCCCACGCTTAGTTGTAATAATCTTAAGACAGTTGTGTGTAGTAATGGTTGATAGTACAGGCTATTTAACGTTAAAGCCTTTTTGCGTTGCCTTAGAGTTAGTGGGTGGGTCTGTTTTGTATGGTTTTTCCTAAAATGCTACTAGACAAAGCTCTGGGGGTTTTCTGTTCCTGGTTTTTCTTGTGATTTACAACTTGCTCACATGGACTTTATAGGTATTTGATGCCTAAAAAGTAAGTATAAGAACACAACACTTCTATGATTAATTTCTTCTGTACCCTAATGTTAAAGCTCTTTAAGAAGAACAGATCATCAAGTTTTGGTTTTAAGGAAGTATGGCAATATGACCCAGTATTTCTTTCTACTGTTTCAGCCCCAGCAGGTAGAGCAGGTGGAAATCCCCCCTGTAGAGCTGCCCCCAGAAGAGCCTCCAAATATCTGTCAGTTAATTCCAGAGTTAGAACTTCTACCAGAGAAAGAGAAGGAGAAAGAGAAGGAGAAGGAAGATGATGAGGAGGAGGAGGTAAGGAAATATTGGAAAAGATCTGATGAATAAATTCCCATCCCAGATTTAGCAAAAATCTTAAAACAGCTCTCTTTTACTTCTCATATTAGAGCTAAGGTAATTGATGTTGAGCATCACAGTGATGAAAAATGTTCACACATAAACAAAATTTAACCAAATTCTTAATGATCTGGATCATCATTAAGAACATCAAGTTTTATGCTCTGCTATACCTCATTGTTTCCCTTGTGGGCTTTTGAAGGACACACGACTGCCCTCTCACTGATTTCTTAAAGTCTAGGTGGTTTGTACCTGCTTTTATTATCTTGTGGCCAATTCTTACTATTAGTGTCTGCCTCTGGTATGACCTTGCTCTCTGTGGCCTGGAAATCACATAACCATTTTCCATGAGTTTTGTTTTCATTAGATTGGGGTGAGATGTGACTTGGCTAAAAGAAAGGTTTGAATGGCTTTATTTTTTTAAAAGAAGAGGTGCTTTGAGAATGGCTTTTCTTGGCTGTTTGGGGTCTTTCTGGACCTTTGAAGCTGTTCTAGGTAACTTAGGATTTATTATTTTGATGCTGTCAGAGATTTTAAATTTACAATGAAAATGTTAATAAAATATCTTCCAGGAAGTTTAAATTTCTTCTAAGACTAAAGGTTATGGATTGGGTATATATTTTCATGAGTATCTGTATTTATAATTTATCATCATTATGCCAACCATAGATTTTATAACCATTTAGTGCTTGAGTACCACCTTTTTTTACAGTCAGGATTTAGCCCCAGAGCTGCTACTCTTTTTATGCACTAATGTATGCCACATTATCTCAGACTGTGTTGAGTCAGTATTTAAAATTCTTGTGCATTTTATTATGTATGAAGCTGTAAACTCCCGGTTCTTGGAAATGGGGTATGTAGTTCCGGCATAGCAGGTCTCAGCAGTCGCCCCATGCCAGCTTCACAGAAGACAGGTCTGCAGGTGACTGGGAGCCAGGCAGCTCAAGCAAAATCAAGTATTAGCCCATTTCTTTTAAAACACTATCCAGACCAGTAGTACTTCCTCATCTGCTAATCTGTATGCTCTTTGGTACTAGTCCGCAAGGAGATGAGCTATATATTCAGTTAAGTGTTTGCTTACAGGTACAGAAGACTTTCTTCTGTAAGTTAGGCAAGTTCATACTAGACACAGATATTTTCTGTTACTCCATACACAATTTAAATTAGACCTTTCAGGATAAAGGAAATAATTCATTTTGCAGAACACTTTTGTCAGCTTTTTTGTGTGTCGGGTGGGGTCATTTTCATTCAGGATGAAGATGCTTCTGGAGGTGATCAGGATCAAGAAGAAAGAAGATGGAATAAAAGGACTCAGCAGATGCTTCATGGTCTTCAGGTACGTGTGCCAGTCCAGACTTAGAAAGACTTGAGTGAAAACTTGACATTGCTCCCTCAAAAAGCACCATGGTATAACCAGAAAGTCTACGTTTGTGACACTTTTTCCAGCACAACGTATTCCAATACATATGCCAAGAGTAAGCCTGGGCTGCCTCAGTCCATTAAGTGTCCAGCTCTTGATATCTGCTCAGGTCATAATCACACAGTTTGTGGGATCGAGCCCTGTGTCAGGCTCCACGCTGCCTCTCCCCCTCCAAACAAATAAGGCCTTAAAAAAGAAAGAGTAAGCCTGGAAAGCATCTAGGTGAACACTTTGCAGTGGTTATGCTGCGAAGGTAAACTGTGGTGGTGGCTTATAGAATTCCTCTGTGTCTGCTACTTTTTAGTGATCATTGAATGTATTTGTTGGATCATTATTTGAGCATCTGTGAAATACCAGGCATGTTGCTTAAGGTTTCCCAAAATAGAGTCAAAGGATCGAGAGATTTTAAAAATAAGCTGAGGGGCGCCTGGGTGGCTCAGTCAGTTAAACACCTGACTTTGGCTCAGCCTGCTTCGGATTCTGTGTCTCCCTCTGCCCCTCCCCCACTCATTCTGTCTCTCTCAAAGACATTAAAAAAAATAAGTTGAAATCTTAGAGTTAGTGCTCAGTTTTACTATCGTATCACATTTGCTTTTCCCCTTTACCATTGAAAAAAGTCCACTCCCACCATAGTATACTCTTCCTAGTATCCAAAATTAGCATCTTTTTAAAATTAGCACTTTACTGGGGCTGTCGGTTCAGTGTCCAACTTCAGCTCAAGTCATAATCTCACAGCTCATAAGTTCCGAGCCCCACATCAGGCTGTGCTGACAGCTCAGGGCCTGGAGCCTGCTTCCAATTCTGTGTCTCCCTGTCTCTCTCTGCCCCTCCCCTGCTCTGGCTCTCAAACATTAAAAAAAAAAAATAGCACTTTCCTGTGAGATTACTTTAATTCTTCCTTTGTTTTATTTCAGCGAGCTCTTGCTAAAACTGGAGCTGAATCTATCAGTTTGCTTGAGTTATGTCGAAACACAAACAGAAAGCAAGCTGCAGCAAAATTCTACAGTTTTTTGGTTCTTAAAAAGCAACAAGCTATCGAGCTGACACAGGAAGAACCATACAGTGACATCATTGCAACACCTGGACCAAGGTTCCACATTATTTGAGCAGCTAGAAGCATTATAGCTAGTGTTCATTTCACTAGTGTATACAAATTGCCCCCATGTGTAGGGCACACAAAACCCTTTGAGAAAATTTAGATTTTTGTCTGTACAAAGTCTCTGCCTTTTTCTTCATTTTCCAGTATTTTAAATCTATCAGTTTCATCTTTAAGGGAAACTGCTTATATGGATGTGTTTGTGTTCTGATGGAGAAACAAGCACACCCGAGGACCCAGAAGATCATTTTAACAGTTCAGAACAGTTGTGTGCAATATTGGCGCATGTGATGATGAGTAGCAGTTGAAAGTCGGGATTTTTATCTTAGTTCTCCATTATTGCAGTGGAAAGGAAAACATGTCAGGAAAAAAACGCTGGACAGTTTAAGAACTATGGTGTGAGTCTTTGACAGAAAGAAGTCGTCTTTTCCCACTAGTAACACTGGCAATCTTAACACCTATTTTTAGAGATGGTGCCCAAAACAAATTGTCCTCTTGAGATACATTTTAAAGTGTAATTCCGTAATGACCAAGAGGGCACGTGAAATTGTGCTATATATAAGTAAAACCCTTCAGCTACAAAATGATAGAACTTGGTTTAAAGTGTTCTATTTTGTAAGTCATTCCATTTGAAACTTTTTAATGAACCTGACTATCCTGAAATCTGTTGTTTTAGTGAGGCTCTCAAATGAGCCAAAGTAGACTTTTTAGAGTAGAATAAATATAAAAACATTTTATAACTTTCCAGAAGCTATAAATCAAAGTTTTAAAAAGATGTTTGGATATATTTGAGTATTCAGATCATGAAAATAGAAATTGCTATGCCAACTAAAAGGACAGACTGATGGGAAATTATACACCTGGTTGACTTAGCCCTTAAGCAGACAATGCTGTTAATAACTAATGGCTTCTCTGATATTTATTACAAGTTTTAGTACTGATCTTTTCCCAATGCTGCACACTCCTATGTTTGGAACTTTATTTTTAATGGCTTTGCAACAGAAATCCTATATCCGGTTTCCTGTAATTTAAGAAAAACATCCAAATAAAGGCTTTATTATTAACAGACCAGATAGCACCAGAAATTATGTGACTATTATGATTCTCAAAATATGTCTTAACTTTTTAGGGCAAAATTACACTGAAAGTTCTAGCTTAAATGTTGGCACTTTTGTGGAAAAAAATCACTTTTCAAACTCAGACTTCAGTGTATACCCAATAATTTTAAATTATGTGAAATGTTTTAAATTAGTGAACTCGTAATTACTGTTTTGATGATTCAGTTTCTTGAGAATGGTAATTGTATAAAATTGCTATTGCAGCTTTATTTTCAATATGTGCCTGTAAACCATGGATTTTTCTCCCTTTGTAAAAAGTCATTGTAGATAATTGAATGTTTGATTATAGAAAGGTCATTAGTTTCTTGTTAACACATTTTGTTAGTCTGGTTTTGTTGCTTATCGGGTTTAATATTGTTCTTGAAAATAGTTGATGCTATGTTATGTATAACTTTTCTAATAAAAGTTGTGTTATAAGCTGTAAATTTTGGAGTATTGTTTTGTTGATCGTGTTCCCCAGGAAAATGTTAATTATGCCTCATCTTTTGTTTGCCTTCTCTAGAATAATTGTTCATACAGATAGTGAATTTTTCAAGTCTTGGGTTAAAAAAATGAAAGATCAGTGTCCTTGTCAACAGAAGGGCCATATGATCTGAAACTTGGGTAGATATACAGTAATGATATATATTAGCATGTAATTAAAATGAAAGTAACCAATGGCTAGTGCTGAGGAATCTTTGGGGCACAGATATATCCCTGTAACTGCTAAGTACCTGCAAATTATGACGTGCCTATTGGTATATGCCCTTGCAGCCCTAAACAAAGCCGATGAACTGGAGGCTTCCTGAGCCCATCTGAGAAAGCTACTGAAAGCCAGGGCATTCAGTAATTTGACATGTCCCTACCTGTGCACATTCAGCCTTACCCTGTTCCCAACTGTGAGCTTTAAGAAACTAAGATGGTTTAAGCCTTGCTAAATCTTAAGCATTAGTTTACTGCTGTTTGTAATAGGAAAACCAGTGTTTACTAAGCACCTATTGTACTCAAACCCAAACATTCTTCAATTTGAGGCTCACCACCTATGGTAAAACAGACTAGGGGAAAATTATAACCTAATGTGAAAGTGATGGAGTCTAGAATACAGCATGCCAAAATATCTGGGAATGGTCCAGAAAACGTCCCAGAAAATAAAAATCTTTTGGCCAACATTTAAAAGATGGAAAATAACTTAGATTTAGGGTCCAAGATGGCAACGTAGAAAGATCAACTCACCTCCTCCAGGAACACACCAAATCTATGCCTATTTATAGGACCGTTGTTCCTTAAGAAGAGGGCTGGACAACACCTTCACAAGAGAGACCACATACAGAAGCAAGAGGCAGACAGGACAACAAGGGAATCAGATGCTATGAATGGTGATGGGAGGGATAGTACTGAGGGACTGACTGCAGATTCATCTGCCCTGGGGCACAGAAAAGGAGCCGTTGTGTAAAAGAGCAACGAGTATATAAAAGATCCAGCCCTAGAACCCTGCCAAATTTCTTATAAGGAAATGTCCGCACACCTCTCCTGGATATCCTGGGGCACAGAAAAAATAAAGTTTGAAAGACCAGAAAATAAAAGAGGCAGCCCCACAACTCCACTGAACAGCAAGGAAGCTGCTGGAACTCTCCCAAGTCAGAAAGGTTGTCAAAGCACCATGGTTTACGTTCCCCCCTACACTTTGGTCAGAAGGGAAGGCCTGGGTGCCCTAGCCAGCTTACCACTTCGATGAGCCCCAGGCCCTTAACCTAGAGTAGTCCCAAGAACTAAATGAAACATAAGCAATATGCCTGATAAAGAGTTAAGTGATCATAAAAATGCTTTCTGGACTGGAGAAAAGAGTGGAAGAACTCAAGAGTTGCAACAAAGAGGTAGATAATATGAAAAAGCCAACTAGATTTGAATACAATAACAGTGAAAAGTACACTAGAGGGAATCAACAGATCAGCAGATGCAGAACAAATTAGCAATCTAGAAAATGGGGTAAAGGAAGTCAGCACCCAAGCTGAACAGCATAAAGAGTTTTTAAAAATAAAGATATGTTAAGTGATTTCTTGGACATCAACAGAACATTCACATTATAGAAATCCCAGAAGGAGAAGAGCGAGAAAAAGGAGGAAAACTAACTTAAATATACAGCTGAAAATTTCACTAACCTAGGAAACAGATATCTAGTTCAGGAAGCAGAGAGTTCCAAACAAGATGAACCCAAGGAGATCCACACCACAACATGTAATAATTAAAATGTTAATGGTTAAAGATAAAGAGAATTCTTTAAACAGTAAGAGAGAAGCAAAAGATTGTATGCAAGAGAAACCCCATAAAACAGCTAAATTTTCAGCAGAAAATTTTCATGCCGAAAGAGAGTGGAATGATATATTCAAAGTGCTGGGAGGAAAAAACCTACAACCAAGAATATTTGACCTAGCAAGATTCAGAATTGAAAGACAAAGACTTTCCCAGGTAAATAAAAGTTAAAAGCACATCACCACTAAATTGGCCTTATAACAAATGTTAAAGGGACTTCTCTAAGAGGAAAAGTCCATAATTAGACATAATAAAAATATGAATAAAAAAGATATAAAAACATGACATACACATAAAAATGTGGAGAAGTGAGTAAAAAATTATTTTAGAGTATGTTTGAAGCAAAATGACAATAACTTAATAGAGATTGCTATGTACTTAAGATGTTATTTATGAAACTCTTGGTAACCACAAACCCAAAACCAATAACAGATGCACAAAAAAATAAAGCCAAACATAACGCTACAGAAAGTCATTTTTAAAAAAAGGCAAGAGAAGAGACAACTACAAAAACAACCTGAAAACAATTAACAAAATGCCAATAAGTACATACCTAATAATGATTACTTTAAATGTAAGTGGTCTAAGTGCTCCATTCTAAAGACACAGAGTGGAATGTCTTAAAAACACAGGACCCACCTATGTGCTACCTACAGAAAGACCCACTTCGGACCCAAAGACATACAGACTGAATGTGAAGGTATGAAAAGATATTTCATACAGGTGAAAGCAAAAAAAAAAAAAAAAAAAAAAAAAAAAGCCAGGGTAGCAGGTCAGCAATACTTATATCAGGGAAAATACACGTTAAGACAAAGATTGTAACAAGAGACTAAAGCCATTACATAATGATAAAGGAGCCAATCCAATAAGAGGATATAACAAAAAATATCCATCCAACATTGGAACACCTAAATACATAAAGCAAATATTAACAGACATACAGAGAAATTACCAGTAACAACACGAGTAGGGGACTTTGATACTCCACATGTCCATGGACAGATTTTTCAGTCAGAAAATAAGGAAACTGTCTTTGAGTGACACATTAGACCAGACGGACCTAACATATATATAGAATATTCCATCCCAAAACAGAATATACAATTTTTTCCGTTGCATATGGAACATTCTCCTGGATAGATCATGTTAAGCCACAAAACAAGTCTCAACAAATTTATATGTGATCCAGACTAATGCCATGTTGGACAAATCTAACATGAGGACCTTTCTGTGACCAAAAATATTCTCAAGTACAGCTCCTCCCACCCTGATTCTTCTCTTTTGCTTTACCACACCCTTAAGTACACACTCAGGGCATAATGTTCTTGATCTATTTTGGAGATAGGACTTACTAAATCCCACAGTATCCACCAGAAATTATTAGGATGGACAAATGACTTCAGTAAAGCTGCAGGAAACAATTAATATAGAGAAATCTGTTGCATTTCTATACAGTAATACTGATGTAACAGAAAGAGAAATTAAGAAAACAATCCCATTTACAGTTGCATCAAGAAGAATGAAACACACAGGAATAGATTCAACTATGGAGGAGAAAGACCTATATTCTGAAAACTGTAGAACACTGATGAGAGAAATTGAG